TCTTGCAACTTTAAGTGTGAAGTTATTTCAAAATAAATTTTTTAAAATTTCAGGAAAAGGGAGCAAGAGTGCATATGAGTCTGGTCCGGCAGAAATTGTGAGGTGGTATTCCAAGGTCAAAGGTTGGAAGACCTGCCTTGGCAGCCCTCCTCAAACCCTTAGTGCTGTGGCAAGGCCACTGTGCTGTCTTACTTGGCTTTCTTCCCATGGCCCCTCACTTCCCCTTTCCAGGCCTCAGTTTCTTTATTTGTGAGATGGGGACAAAGATAATCTGTCTCTTTGATTGTGATTTTAGGTTTCCCAAAAGCAGACTATGCTTTCAGAAGTTCTGGGGGGAAAGATAGCAGGTAAACCAGAAAGATGAATGGTCAAGTTGACAGGAGCCCTCACTTTCTTTGTTCAGCAAAACAGACAAAAGGGCTATGAGGGCGTGGTGTGGGGCCTGCCTGTTTCTCAGCTAAAATGTCTAGTTTGTGCAACTCAGGGCCAAGGGGGTAGGGCCCTTGGCATCTCAGCTGTCTTGAGAAACATACTGGGGGTCTTCAGAAAGTTAACGGAAAGATTCATATTATCTTTTAATTCCATTTTCCATGTACTTTTCAAAATACCCTTGTATTGGGGTCTTCTGTCCAAAGGGGCAGCCAGCACTGATGCCCGTTGTGGCCAGGGCCCTTCTGGAAGAGATTCATGTCAGGAAAAGAGCTGGAGTCGGCCAGACCTGGGGGTGCACCTGCCTCCCCATGCCACTGTCTGTCTCTTTCCAGGATGACAGCCACAGCCCCCTGCATCTGCCTGGGGGAATCTCCCATGACTTGAATCTGATTGTGCCTGCGACCCTACAGAAGGCTCGGGTTTCTGAGCTGGGCAGAGACATGCCCAGCCCAAGTGTTCTGCTGATAGCACAGGCCACACAGATTGGCAAGGAGGGACAAAGGCAGGTAGATCAAGAAGGAGCAGCTGGGGTACCCAGTCAGGAGACAACCGATGCCTCGGAAACCCTGTAATAAATAGACTGATGGATCTGGTGATCCTTAGCTCCAAATCTGACCTGCGCCAGGCCATGCCGACTTTGGCAGCAACATTCTTCAGTCTCTCCATTTCCAGCCCAAAAAACCCTTCCATCCCCCAAGTGCCAAAAGAGGGCTCAGGAACCGGGACAAATCAATCTAGCTGAGCTGCCTCAGCACCAGAATTGCTGGGACATGAAGAATCTCCCCAGCTCCCCCACCACCTGCAGCAGCCCTTTCTCCTGGGAAGGTGGGAGCTCCTGATTCCCCACTCCCTGTTCCTGGGCAATAATTAACACTCTGGGAAAACTGCATAGCCAGCTCTCCAGAGCCCCACATCTGGTGCCATGGGAACCACAAGGCATTGGGAAGGGTCCCCCGAGGGTCCCAGGGCGGGAAGGTAGAGTTGGAAGTCTGTCTGGGGAGGCCAGACCTGGACCTCCCTGGTACTCAGACAGCCAGTCTTCTGCTCATCATGGGATACAAATATTCATGTATGGGCGTATGTGCAGGTTTACGCATTACAAGGGCCTGCATGTATGCACTTGCCACTCCATGTGTTAATAACAGTACTTAATATTAATAGATCACTTAATATTAATAGACACAGGAAGGTCTAAGTACTTATCGTATATCTCATTTAATGCTCACAAGGCAGATTTTTATTATCCCTGTTTTATAGAAGAGGAAACAGAAACACAGGGAGGTTAAACAGCATGTCCAAGTCACAGCTAGACCTAGGATTTGAATCCAGGTAATCTGAATCTAGTGTCCTCGCTCTTAACCACAACTCTAATACTCTCTCCTCAAATAGACGCTCAGCAAATGTTTGAGGAACTAAATTATGTGGATACACCCATAGAAAAAGAGAAAAAAATAAAGCAAGATCAAGAGCAAAAGTGGGTACACCTTGAGATACATCCCGTGCCCTACGTCAGTGTTTCCTGGACTGGTTTATGTGTCCACTGGAGAATGAGCGAGACAGCGATATGACTACTGATGTTCCTTGGCTTCTGGAAAGAAATCCAGAGATGAGGTTCGGTCAGATGATCTTGGGATCTTTCCCACATGGTTTTCCTGGGGCTAGATATCCCTCCTGTGTCTGCTGGGTCTGGGCTTCCTGGGCACTTGGGGCCAAGGCCTCCCAGGCTTGGATTTGGGGGTGGGGCAGAGGGAATGCTGTGTGTGGCTTCCCCACTTCTCCAGTCCCAAGACTGTCCCACAGCCCCAGGCCTCCCCACTTGCCCCAGGTCACGCCCTGTCACTCCGAGAGCTTTGCAAGGGTGTCCCTGAGAGACATTTCCTGGTGTTTCTGCTCAAACAACATTTGCTGCAAAATATGTCAAAGCATTTGGGCTTCAGTTTTCAGTTCAGAATATGCCAATGTTTACATTTGGAAGGGGAAGTGTTTCTGTTGATGTGGTAAAGAGATAAAATAAGACATTCTTCACTAAGTTACAGTGTCTGAAAGTTAAGCGCTTTGCCTGGGGACAGGGATTCATCTTGGGATCATCAGGGTCTAGTACATGGCCTGGCAGGAGAGCAGGCAGGGTCAACATTTGTTGAATGACTGAATAAGGGAATATGGAAGGGACCTAGAACAAGGAATGGTATATGATCAGCACTCAGTACAGATTTTGAACGGATCCCACAGGCTCTACCTCTGACAGGTGTTCTTGGTCTGCTCATGTTTCTCGATCTTTGCTAACCTCGCCTTCCCCAAGCCTCTGTCACCTCATGCCTGGACAACTGAACAGCCTCTTGGCTGGCTCCACCCTTGCCCCTACAGCCTATTCTGCCCACAACCGCCAAAGTCATCTTTGCAAAACGTGAATCAGATTGTGTCATTCCCTACCTAATGCCTGTCAGTGGCTTTCCACTGCTCTTGGCTGTGGCCTCCCAGATCCCACATGGTGTGGCCCTTGCCCAGCCCACTGACCTCTCCTGGAGTTGTTCTCCAGCCACCCTGGCCTCATTTCAGTTGCTGGGGGAGCCAACTCTCTCCCACCCCAGGGTCTTGGCCCTAGCAGTTCCCTCTGCCTGGATTGCTTTTCTCTGGATCTTCATGTCTTCTGGCTCCTTCTATCAATTTAGGGCTCAGCTCAAAAGCGTCATCTCCTCATGGAGGGCTTCTTTTGACCCCTCTAGCTAAAGCAGCCCATCTCTATTCTTTTGTTTCACTCACTCTCACTCAACATCATCATGTACAGTATCTACTAGATCTAAGGTGTTGTTCTAAGTGCCGAGGAAACAGCAGTGAACACAATAGGGCAAGCTGAGGTCCTTTGCACAAGTCTTCATAGCTCTTACAAAAATCTGATTACCTTGTTTGGGTACCTGCTAGTCTCACTCACTAAGTGCCAGGAGGGCTAGCGCTGAGTCTGCCTCACTCACTGTGTTCACTTGCCAAGCACCGTAAAGTGGATGGAGGGATGGCAGGCAGTGGGGGTTACAGAGTAGCTGGCAAACACTCCACCTGCACTTGGCTCTTGCTAAGGATTCACTGAGCTCAACTGGACCTTTCTTCAAAGCAAACTCACTGTAGACCCTTCAGTGGAGCCTGCTGCCCCTAGCAGTGCTACCAGCAGGTCCTGCCCCACCCTGCATCACCCTCTGCAACAGACTGAATGTTTCTGTCCCCCCTAAATTCACATGTCGAAACCCTAATCCCAGTGTGATGGTATTAGGAGGTGAGGCCTTTGGGAGGAGATTAGGTCATGAGGATGAAGGCCTCATGAATGGGATAAGTGCTCTTATAAGAACTGTGAGAAGTAAATGTTTGTTGTTTAAGCCACCCAGTCCATGGTATTTGGATATAGTCTCCCTAACTGACTAAGATGCCCTCTGACTATGGTCATCTTGGCAAAGACAGGCAACACAAGAGAGAGGTAAACTCAGTCTGCTTGGGGTGAGTGACATTAGTATCCACTTTCCAAAAGGAGCCCCTGCTCACCACCACAGCATTCTCCCCCCATTGCCATTCAGGCCCCATGCCCAGTGACACTCCAGCACCGTCCAGGTGAGGGGCTCAGCCAAGGAGTTCTTGGCTGCTCCATGACCCCTCCCTGGACTTGACAGCTGCCCAAGAGCCTGCTTGGAGTGGGTGTTCTCTCTCATTTAGTCCAGCTGCCTCTCTTCCTTGCAAGGTGACTTACTTCTCCTGGGACCTTCATCTCCCTATCACTAACACACAAGGAGGTGAGCCGGGTGCAAAACTTTCTGGTTGCTGCCCAGAGGCAGGATTTTTAACACCTCCATGCAATTATGGTCCTTTCTCCTGCTGACCCAAGAGCCCCCTGAGGCCTTGCAAACACTACAGACAAAGCCAGCCTCAGCACCAACCCCCAGCTTGCCTGTTCTGTGAAGGCAGTCTGCAAAACTAGCAGCACCTGCAGATTTGAGTTGCAGAACTGCCGAGATGGGACACCCTGAAACCTGACTCCAAACAGCAGCAAACCCAAGGCCAAAAAGTACAGGTTTCTTTGCAGAAGGTTTCACCTTTCACAGCCTCGGCCTGGGGCCCCTGCACTCAATCCCCACCCAGTCCCCGAAGGGGCCACAGTGATCAGTGCCTGGCTCCCTACCTTTCCTGACATCCCCAAGTCTTTATCCTTCCAGGACTAGTGAGAATACCCCAGAAGCCAAGGTCACCATCAAGCCATGCTGAGGATGTGGGGAGGAGCTAACAGCTATGCCTCAAATGGATTTGGGTGCAAAAGCTTTTTCCACAGCGTGCGGGTAAGTCCAACCCCAAACGTAACTCGGGCCCTCAGCCTTCTCTCTCTTTAACAGCTGTCTCCTTTGCTGGGGAAAAGCTTTCCAGCCCCCACTAAGGGCCTAAGAGGGGTCCCATTCCTGGCATCCTTAGACCTGAAAGAGGTGGATGGAGGAGTCAGAAGCCTGGGGGGAGGGTGTGTGTCCGGCCTGGGGATGAGTTCCTCGCCCTCGCCAGCGCCCCAACCCGTCCATATTCAGCGTAGAGAGGGCACTTACAGGCCTCGGAAGCTGGGGAGGACCCCCAACCAGCAGCAGCGACATAATCTGGGCGGCTGGTCCAGGCCAAGGCTTGCGGATCGTGGAGGGGAGGGAGGGATGGCAGTCAAGACCCTACTCCAAGTACCCATCGAAAACGTCGAGCTCCGAGTCGGCATCGTAGAGGCCCGAGCCGGGGTCGGAGAGCACGCCGAGGTCCACGAGCGCCTGGTCCATGTCCTCGGGCAGGAAGACGAGGCCCACGTTGAGGACGATGTACTCCATGAGGAAGGCGTAGTACAGGATCAGCACATTAACGAAGAACAGGCCCACGTAGAACATAGAGGGCAGCAGCGGCGGCGGCACGTAGGGGACCAGGGGGCCCAGCGCGTCCAGGTGGGCCGCGACCCGGGCGCCGGGCATGCAGGGGGCGGCGAGGGCGGCGAGGGCGGCAGCGGCCCGGCGATCCCAGCGAGCTCAGCCGCTGCGGCGTCCGGGCGGCTGGCTAGGGGTCAGCTCAGCCATCCGGGGGCGCCCCGGGGCTCGAAGGAAGCGACGCTGGGCCCCAGGTGCCCCCCGGGATGTGCGGCGGTCTCTGCGGACGCGCCCCGACCCCCGAAACGTGGCGGACGGGGTCACCGCACCCTCCGATGTGCCCACACGATCCTCTCAACAGGCCGGGAGGCGAGGGGTCCTCCCTGAAGTGGCCGGCGGTTGCCCGGATCCCCCAATGCACCCCGCTGGCGCTCACAGGCCCTCGCAGCGCCGGCGGGGACCCCACCCCACCGCGGCTCAGCGTCGAGGGCCAGTCCCGGCAGCCGTCTCTCCCGCCCCGCTCGGCCGTTCCTCGCGCCCCCTCCGTGCCCCCACAGGCCCAGCGCCCATGTCTGCGGCCGCCGCGTCGCCCTCCTGGTCGCGTTCAGAGCACCGCCTCCCGAGCGGCCCCGCGCTCATTGGCCCGCTGCCCCCGGCCCGCGCTCATTGGCCCGAGACGTCCGGGGGCGGGTACAGCTTCGCTCCGCCCCTCCTCTCTGAGTTGCTTTCCTGGTTAGGGTCTGCGCGCGGATCTTAAGTCCCATTCGCTCTCCCGACCCTGGGAGTAGTGGGAGAGAAAAGAGACTGAGCACAATTCAAATCTAGAAGTAGCCTAAGGATACAAAAGCTGAGGGAAACGGTGGGCTTCTTCTGCACCTTGCTGGATTTGGGTATGGCGCCACTCCTCTTTGAAACTCAGTTTCCCCAGTTTCAAAGGAGGCAGGGTGGGGGAGGGGCGGTGGACGGGTCCACTGAAAATATTGGACATTTTGAAAGAACCGACTTTTTCATGGTGGGGAACATCAATCAATGTCACTTCACCTCTTCAAATTCTACTGCTTGGAAGGTCCGCCCATTGGGGAAGGAGAGGTCTGCATCACAGAGTTCGGGAACATCTGGGTAAAGAGATTCCGAGATAGTTCAGACCTTCAGCCATAAGGGTGCTTTTTGTTTCTTTTACTTTGTAAGCCATGTTTAAAAACAATAATAATGCACATGGCCAAACATTGAAACAACCAAGAAATACAAGAAAAGTGAGTCTCTTCCATTCGCTGATTCCCCTGCTCTTGGGTAACTGTCGTACACCTATTAGGAGACTGATCTTGCCCAAAGCGCCTTGCAAAGCAGTTCGGAAAAAGCTTTAAATCTCAGGCCACAGGGAGCTGGGAGCTTTACACGTCTTGCTTAATTGGAGCCAGACAAGGCAGTATGTTACCTTTGTTAGGCCCAGAGAAATGGAGACACCCTGGAATCTGCAGGGGCTGGGTGCGTTTCTTTGGAGGCCAGAACCTGCCCTTCTCCATGACTTCGTCTCACCCTCTACATGAATTCATCTGAACAGTGCAAACCATTAACCCTCCAGTGGTCTCCATTTCTCCAACTGTTGAAGTAAAACAAACCTTCATTCATTCACTCTGCCAATATTTGTTGAACACTTACTATGTGCCAAATTTTGTGCTAGGCATTGGGGAGAACATTGGCCCTTGGCCCAAATCTTTCCTGTGCCCAGTTAATGGGACACAGTAGGCTTCAAATAATTAAGAGATGTAGAAATGAATGACTAAATGGCCGGTGAACAGGGCAGTCTTGCTTCTACTGAGCTGCTCACTTCTAATCCAAGAGAGACATTTAGATCCATCTTCCTGGTTCATGTAGAAATTTGGATATCCTTTTTTCTTTAATGTGATAGTTTGGGAAATGGCATGGATTTGGGGTGAAGTCCAGAGAAATCCTCTGAAAGTAGAAAATGTTCAGTTTGGGCACATTGTTGCTTGCAGGACTTTTCTATATATGTGTGTTTAATTGAAGTGTTAAAAACAAAGACGATCAGGCCGGCCCATGGCTCACTCGGTAGAGTGCGGTGCTGATAACACCAAGGCCATGGGTTCGGATCCTATATAGGGATGGCCGGTTTGCTCACTGGCTGAGCGTGGTGTTGACAACACCAAGCCAAGGGTTGAGATTCCCTTACCGCTCATCTTAAAAAAAAAAAAAAAAAGAAACAAAGGCGATCGTCATTTGGGTGCAGTTTTGTTTTATGGGGGGGATGAAAATAAGGGTGTGTGGGGTTGAACTCTGGTTCTGCCACTTATTAACTGCGTGACCTTGGCTCAGTCAACCTCCCTGTGACTCAGTTTCCCAGACGATATAATGGGGATAATAATAGTAGGGTAGTTGTTGTAATTAAATATCTTAATATAGTGAAGCGCTTAGGACAGTGGCACATAGTACACGTATCGTATGCAATAGCTATTCTTATTCTTATCATAAAGCTAATAATTGTTACTATTGTGGTCACTTTTACCCAGCCGTCTTCAGAAATTCCCCCCTCAAGGCTCCGCCCACAGGCTTCCTATTCCCGCCCACCGGGCCGCCGATTCTGCGGCCTCGCCTGCTCTCGTTCCGCCTTTTCTCGACGGTTGCAGGCCCGCGGTTTTGTGACGCACACCGGGCCTTGTAGTCAGTTCGCAGAGTCCCGCCGCGGGGGCCTCTCGGGCGAACTGCATTTCCCAGCGTTCCTCGGGGCGGCGGCCGTAAAGCGCGGCGGTTGAACGGCCGGTTCCGGTTGAATATCAGTGCGGGGCTGTGGGCCGGGGAGGAAGGTGGTTGGCGGTCCCTTCACCACCTCCGCTGCTGCCACCTCCGCTTGTGCTGCCACTGCGGGCGTCCGGCCACTCGGCCGGTCGGGCATGAGACCGTGAGGCGAGCGACGGGCCGGGGCCGCCGACATGTTTGGCCGCTCTCGGAGCTGGGTGGGCGGGGGCCACGGCAAGTCCTCCCGCAACATCCACTCCTTGGACCACCTCAAGTGAGTGTGTGGCGGGCGGAGGGGAGAGGCCGCGGAGCTGGGCATGGGGATGGGGGCGCATGGTCCCAGGCTGGGTGCGCTGGGAGATGTGAGAGCGGAGGTGGGGGGTGGGACGGGGCGCCCGTGGAAGGCTGTGCGGTGGTTAAAAGCGAGGGCTCTGGAGTCGGGGCGCCTGGGTTCGAACCCTGACCCTGTCACTCTTGGCTGTGTAACCTTGGACAAGTCCCTTAGTTTCTCAGAGTCTCAGTATTCCCACCTGTAAAGTGAGGAGATGAAGGGGTCAAAGTCTGGATCCTGGAGTCGGGCCGACCTGGGTTAGAATCTGGGTTATGTGAATTTAGGCCTCAGTTTCCTCTGTTGTAAAATGGGTAGCGTGATAGCACCTGCTTCCTGCGAATGCTTTGAAGGTTGGTTGGATAAGAGAATCAACATAAACCTCAGAATATGTACAGGTGCTTAATGAAGGGTAATAATTCAAAGAACAAGTATTTTCTGAGGGGAGTCTAACCAGAAAACAATCGGAAGTAGAGCTCTGGGGCAGGACAGGTGGCCAACAGGGTCTTGAGAAGCCGGGGGTGCACAGAGATTAAGAGACTGGCTTTGCAGTCAGACCTGCGTTTAAATCCTGACGCCACCACTTCATGGCTGTGTGACCTTGGACAAATTACTTCACTCCTCTGAGCCTCCGATTTCCCGTCTGCAAATGGGGATGGTGAACATTGTACAAGGATTCTGTAATGCATGAATGGAAGTAATTGGCCCAGTGTTGTTATACAGTAGGTGGCCAATAGTGGTAGCTGTGCTTAAGCCCAGCACGGCCTTCCCACACCACCCTACCTAAAGTGCTCCCCCAACCCCAATTCCTTTCCATTAGATTTTTCTCTTGATTTCATTCAGTGCATCTCCACTATCTGTGATCATCCTGTTCTTTTTTGTCTCCTATTAAACTGGTACTTCCAGGAGGGCAGAGACTGCTTGATTTGTTCAGAGCTGTATTCCCAGCATCTAGCACCATGCCTGGCACACAGTAGGAGCCCAATGGATACTTAAAGAATGAAAAAAAAAGAATGAATAAATTGGGGAAAGGTACAGAGCTTGCCGGCAGAGATTTGGGGGGCAGGTTGGGGTGGGGCTGATGGAAAATAAGACCTTTGAGGAGGGAATGACTTCAGCGAGGAAAGTGTATGTTGGGGGTGGGAGGTGCTGAAGGGGGAGAGCAGGCAAACCTTGGTGGTAAGAAATAGGCTGGTTTCCAGAGAAAGCTTCCAAGATTATTGATGGGAAAGAAGAAGGATGGTGTTGGGGGGATGGTGGGGAACAGTAGAAGGAAGACAGGAGCCCGTGGAAAAGGTTGGTGGGAGGGGAATTAGATGAGGGGCTTCTCGTTTGACCCTGGTGGTGGGGGTGCTATGATTCTCAGCTATGTCTTTTCTAGCATGGAACATTTAATAAATGTGAGTCTCGAAGAGTGGGAGGCAGGAGGGTTCTTTATGTCGTGAGGGACAGTTTTGGGGGGTGTTGGTGAGAGAAGACAAGGGGAGGAAAGAGGCCCAGGACAAGGATAGGGGCGGGGGATAGGGAAGCAGGAATCTTAAATGGGAGGGCAGCTGACCGGGAAAGGGAGAGGCTTAAGGATTTCAGGAATTTATCGAGTGGGTGGATGCAGCTGAAAAGGGGAGGATGGTTATCCAGAGGAGGTTGGGCCTCCTGCCATCACCCAGGTGCCTGCACTCTCTCACCTGACTCTGCATGACTCCAGCCTTTTTGAATTACCTTAATATTTATTGAATTCTTTATCCTGTGCCAGGTACTTGCTAAGGACTTCCTATGTGTTATTTCTATTTAGTCCTCATGAATCTATGAGTTATAGGAACTATTATTATTTCCATTTTAAGAAGTGGATATTAAGGTTAAAGGAGCTTAAGTCACTTGCTCTGAGGTGACAACAGCTGAAGAGTGTCACAGTCAGGATATGACTCCAGAGCTTGCCCTGGTTTCCTTGTCTTTCTGAGTAAAACTGAATAAAACTTCCCAATAAGTCAGTTTAGGGATACTTTTGACTTGGCCGAGTCTCACCATCAATGGGGCATCTGGCCAGCCAGGGAATGGTAAAAGTTCTCAGGTTCCTTTGTAGTATCCTGAGAACTGCTCAGTTTCATTGTTTAGGTTGCATGTCTATTGGGCGGTTTTTTTTTTTTTTTTTTTGGAAACCTGAGATGCCTGCCCTGGATCAGGCAGTTCAGCTTAATCCATATTTCAGCCCGAAGAACCTGCTGATTCATGTATTGGTATGGGGCTTAGAAGACCCCCAAGGTGACTGGGGAAAAGTGCCATCAACAGCGGTGCTCACCCGAGTGCTCGTGAGGCTCTTCATTTGGCTCTGATAGTAAATATCTTGGGTCTTGGGTACAGAATAGCTTATTCCCTGAGGGAGTTTGCAGACTGGTGGGGAAGGCAGCCATAGAGCTGGTGATTGTACAGTGTGACAAATGCTGAGATCACCATAGATGATCACCCAGGATTCTGTGGAAGCCCTTCTAGGAAGCTTTCTGGTGAAGGCAACACCAGAATGGAGTCTCTAAGGATGGGTAGGAGTCACTGTGTGGGCAGCGAGGTGTGTGTGTGGGGGGGTACACCATAACCAAGATCCTGGGATTTGTGGCGTGTCAGGGTGGGGGCTGGTAGTCACAGGAAACAAGGCTAGATGTAGGAAGGGTCTTAGGAGTTATCTGACATAGGGTAACCTACTGTTCCAGTTTGCCTGGGACTGAGGTGTTTCCTAGGACATGGTACTTTCAGTGCTAAAACTGGGAAAGTCCTGGGCAAACCAGCACAAATTGGTCACCCTTCCAGTGACAAGTAATAGTTCCTAATACACTCTTGTCTTGATCTTGGACAGTGTGGGTAGAGAGGAGAGGTTAAGATATATAAAATAACTTAGAATTTATACACACACACACACATATACATACATACATACATATATATATATATATTTTTTTTTTTAAAGATGACCGGTAAGGGGATCTTAACCCTTGACTTGGTCTTGTCAGCACCACGTTCAGCCAGTGAGCTAGCCGGCCATCCCTATATGGGATCCGAACCCGTGGCCTTGGTGTTATCAGCACCGCACTCTCCCGAGTGAGCCACAGGCCGGCCCCTTTTTTTTTTTTTTTTTTTTTT